CGGAAGCAATTGTTTCTCTACTACAAGCTACGTATATCGCAGCACGCTGTATACGGGAGCAAGTGTGAACCGCAAACTTGCTATACGTAGCTCCCTGACTTTTGTGAATAGTTATACCTTCTGCGGATACAACTTGAAACTGCCTGCGGTCAATAGAAACTAGCTCATTTCTTCTATATTGAAAACTTTTAACTATTTTCTGAATTGGTGTCCAGAAAGCTTTTGCACGATGTGTACACTTTGAGCGAGCAAGTACTTCTACGGTATCATCTGAAAATTTCATCCATAAAGTTGTTGGAGTGCTGGATGCATCAAAATCTATTTGCATTAACTGTTGCCCCATTAACTGTTCCATCCCCATCTACATTGACCGTAATCATATATTTGGCAGTGGTTTTTAGGAGAAGAGACATACACAATCCCTGTGTTTTGGACGACCTAAAGCTACTAACGGCTTGTAAGATTCTCTGTCTACAAGCCCCAGCTATATGTGTTGCTTTAATAAAATCATCAGCGGAAGAATTAAATTGATCAGTCAGAATTGAGTTTTGCCTAATCGTGTTATAGCTATATGTCGCCGCATTTGAACTAAATAGATGATCAACATCATCGGGCACATCTGATTTCTGACAAATGCGGGATCGGACAAGACTAATATCATCGGCTGTCATGTTTTCCGAAGCCATATTATTTAAAGCAGACGATTGGAGAATGGAGAAGTATTTTTAAAAATTAGTTTTGAACGGGAGTTCAACTGGGAAAACATTTAGGAGCCTACCGTAGATATTTCATCTATATTAATAAGTTTAAGGTCTATGAACCTTGAATGCAAAATATTATTTACAGCTTTACCACACAATGGTATTTTAGTTGAAGCTGGATCACTTTCTGGCTTACTATTGTACATAACTGACAAATATTGAAAAAGAGCTAGGATAAGTCGGCTCTTTCCGACACCCGCACCACGTCTAACAAATTCGTAGAAGACGGATTTGTTTTTGGCATTGTGCAAAACAAGTAAGAAATATGTTTGTGACCTGACTATATCTGCTAAACTTTCAGCTGAAACAATAGCTGGAAGTTTTCTTGATCGGACATTGTTATCGTTTTTCCATTTCCATTAATGTTTAAGACATTTAAATGAGAATTTATTTCTATCAATTCAAAAACTCGAAATCTATCGTCTACTACTTCTTGATTTTCAACATTTTCTTCATTTTCTGCCTGTACTGAATTTTCAAGACCATGCTGAAGCTCACTGTCATCTAAGCTATTATATTTCCAGCGATTGCAAAACGATTTGCAGTCTCCTTTTCATCCCTCCATGAAACATACAACATAACCAATTCTCGAAAATAATTGCTCCTATCAGTATTAATATTAAATCTCCTATAACTAATTCTAATAGGAGTGTTTTTCTTTTCTTTACGAAGTCACTATCATCGCGAAGTGCGTAAACTAACTGCTGGGAAGCCCTAGATGTTTCGGTGTCATCCGCATAATTTAAATATAGGCGAGTACCACTATGCCGTTTGCTTAAATAATGGTCTAAAAGTCCTATTTCCAATATTGCCACTGCGTCATCGGGTAAGTTTTGCAACTGTCGCCTAACCTAACATTAACCCAACCCGAAACTCTGGTAACGAGGTATTGATAAAAACCACTGCGTTACTGCTTTCGGACAAAGGCATACCTAAACAGCAGTGAACGGCTTCCTGGGCGGATATTTCCGTTCTCGAAATGAACTTATGCCCTATATGATGTATCTTTTGCTTAACAGTTGCATTGCCCCTGCAAAGCTCACTTACAGCTTCGCGCATTAGTTTTGAAATTCCTCTCTGGGACTTGTAAGTATAATTAACGACATAACTACAGCAAGCATAGAGATGTTATATAAACTGGATATTTATATTGGCTCGCTGCAGTAGTAGAAGGTAAATATTTTAAGCGTGAAGCTTAATTGCTGCGAATGATCGCTTTAAATATATTTTTGGCTTTCTTTTACTCGACCTGAGTTCATAACATAAGTTAAGTGGATCGTCGGACAAAAAGTTATTGAAATCCCTAAGGTAATCTACGATGCACATCAATATTTTCAGCATCGTCTTCTAATGGGAATAGAATTTCTGTTTGCGGCATGGGAGGGTATGGAATACCAAATCTACATATTTTTTGTGCCTTAACTTCTCGCCTACATGAGTGCCCGCGATTGCGAGTTTGATACTCCAAAAATGGAGCCACATCCAGGTTACTTGTTTCAGTTGAGATAAACTGATCAATAAAGGACTTTACAGTTGGAATGTTTGAATCAACAGTCAAGTCAACCGTTGGGGCATCTTTCAGCCAAAACATGTACTTTATGACCTTGTGACTGTCAAAAACACCGCCTTTCTTTTTCATTAGTTTTAAAGCCTTTAACGAAAATCAAAAACCCTAGCGCAAGTAACAGGGTCAGCTCTAATTAGACGGGCTTTATTGTCAAAAGTGAATTTAGCTGCTAATTCTTCTGAAATTTCTATTAATCATTTTCAATTATTATAATTTTTCTATAATACAACCTCTCCTATCAACGTTTCTAAGTTCTGACCTAACTAAATAACCTAACCTAACAAAAATAATTGGGGGGCCAGTTCCTCTGAATCACAATCTTCGATCATTTCTAAAGGACTCTCCTCTCCAGGAGCATGACAATATTTTCGACAGAATCGTTTTCTAATAATGTTTCCTGGTCTCCTGTTATTAATATATTCTTCTATACTAATCTGCTCATTTATGGAGGCTTGACCAGATCTAGCTAGTTGCGATACTAAGTCCCTGTCTACAGCAGATGCAACAAATGGAGCTTCGTCAGACAAAAAGGACGACAACCACTGTTCGTTAACAGTAATCTGATGCTTTCTGTAAAGCCCGGTGTTGACTGAAAATTTGATTGCATCAGTAACTTAAGAGGGCATAATGGTTTCAGCCATGAAATTATGGCTATATTCCATCCAACGTTTGAGATGAATCTGAACTACCTCGCTTTCATTAAATGCCCTCGGAAGGGACGTTATAACATTGCCCACAGGAATTGGTACATTGATCACTGCTCCTTTAATTGCATTTTGTCGGTCATATCCTCAAGACTTAATAATCCTGTAGGGAAGGCGTGTTGAAACAAGCCTTTCCTCTAAAGGCGTTAAGTCTTTTAGACAATCTGGCAGATTGGGAATATTTAGGCCATTTGTTGTAAAATTTAATTTAATGATACGATATGTTTTGCAAAAACTATATTTTTTATTGACAGAGGGAAATATAGAGGATAGATATAAAATATCTAAGCTTACTTCTGCCCTATACTTGCTTTCAATAACCTCATGAGAAATTTTGTCAACTTGAGGTGGAAACCATAAGCCTTTTGCAAAAAAGGCAAACCTGATCCCGATGAGGGTCCCGACCTTGCTTAACTGTTTTATTGAATGCAGCTATCAGACCATCTAAGTTACTCCTAATAGCTGGGGAGATTATATCCTCTGAAAAACTATTCGCACGCTCACCCCTATTCCTGGTAGCATTTTGCCTATTTTCTGCTATCCTATTACCTGTATTACTCCTATACAGGCTAACTCGCTGTCGTTTGCTGTTGGGCTTGAATGTTACGTGGCTGTGATCTTCGATTCCTTTTCCTAGCTCTTTCTAAAAGTGTCGTTCTATGTGTTGTCGATGGGGAGCTCGCAGAATATTGTCTCGTTCTTGTTCGTCTGCCCTATAAACTGGGTCCTGTCGACGTCTCGACTGGTCTTCAGAATTTTGTCTTGTCTACGTCTCGATCGATGCGAAGTATCAGCCAATTTTTCCTGCTGCTGGAGAATTGGCTCGTCGAGTTGAGTGGTCTTCGGTATTTTGTTTCTGTTCGATTGCTCGATAGATTGGGTCTTGTCTGCGTCTCGATCGACGCGATGTATCAGCCAATTGCTCCTGTTGCCTTACTAGAGAAGTCGAATCGAGTGGTCTTCAGTATTTTGTCTTTGTTCGATTGCACTAAAACCTGGGTCAAAAATAGTTTATTTCTTTAAAAATTGTTGTTAAAGCACAAAAATCGCAAAATCGGTAATCGAAAATCGACAGCACGCAAAAGTCTGTAGAGTGATGGCAATCGCCGGATACAGACAAATTCGCTTACTGCTTCTTCTGAGCACATTTGAAGTGAGAGTGTTGGGAAATACTCACTCTTCCCAACACGAATTAGTACACGTATGAAAATGCGCGCGCTACTTAATTTATTATGAAATGAATAATTGATCTTGGGTACTAATAATTGAATAAAAAGAGCGCTCCTAATTACGGCAGACGCAGTATATAAAAGGCTTTTCGGAGCTATGGACGAGAAGGACAAAAAACATAGTATTTTAAATGCACTGCCGAATAAAGTTTATGATATGGTTATTCTTGATTTTTGTGTGTCAAGTTATATATCTGCACCAATTGAAAAAGATTAAAAAAGTGTTTTTGTTAATTTGTCTGTTACAACAAAAGGAGAGAATTGCGATCCCCTAGTGTCTGTACATATATATTCTTTGCCAGCTCCAGCCAAGTTGATCTAAAAATGCTTGTATGTCTGTCTATATGAACGTATATATATATATATATATATCAGAGTTAGAACCTTAAAATTTTGAACGTGGCAGCTTAATTTTCACATAATTGAAAACACGACCTAAAACTCTACAAATATAATATACTCTCAGCCTCGGCTCTTTGAGGGCCAAACAAGAAATTTCATTTGCATGTTTGTGTACATATACACATCAAAGCATGTTTGTACATATGTGTTGTTATTTACTGCCGTTGCTGACAAAGAAACTAATTTTGTTAGTTTTTTGCTTATGTATGTTGTATACTGACGTTTGCTTGGTAGATAATCAGTATTTTTAAGTCGATAATGTTTATGTAATTTCCTTAAATTATTTCCCGAATATATTTTGCTGATTATAATTAATAATATTTATAAGTAAACTTACCACAGTGATAAACATCAATATCTTTTATTTGAACACAAAAATATCCCAAATTCTTGTCGTTATTTAGTGCAGTCACCATAAATGATCGGAAGTCTTTTAAATTCCATTGCAATTTTCCACGTGGAGATATTTGATCTGTCTTTTCTAAATCTTGAACATTTGTATAGATTATGCATATTCCTTCCTTAACGTATAATTCAAAGGAGCACACGTTGTTATCATCCTTTATTGTTGCAGATTGTGGTTCCCACATAAAAAGGTCACCATTTAGCCGGTTATAAATGATTTCATAAAGTTTTTTAGATCTAAAAAAAGTTTAATAATTAACTGACGTATTTAAGTAACGAAAAAAATGTTAAACACTTAACAATTAGTTAGTATAATTATTAATTATATTATATGACCTTTTTGATATTTTCAGGGTATAAATATGGCACCCAAATGTGTTTAAATGTAAAAGTCTGAGATTCTAAGATTCACTTTTTATAATTTTTTGAAAACGGGAGAAGGATTCAAAAAATGGCTGAAACTATATCCTGCAATTAAAATTTCGAGTATTTAGCTTTTATAATCTCAGCTATATACTTCAAAACAATATAAAGTCGATATCGATTTTATGAAAACGGGGCGAGTAATAAATGATTTCAAGCAAGCCCCATCTTTAAGTGCACTAGGATGGACATTATATTTAAAAACGCGTTTATGCGTTCGGACAGACAGACAAACAAACATGGATAGATCGCCTCAACTGCTGATTCTGATAAAAAATATACATATATATTTATGGCGCGGAAAATTCCTCCTTCTGCCTGTTACATATATTTGATCAAATCTATTATATCCTTCTACCCAATCTCAGTTCATTCTCGTTCAGTGATTAAAAAGAAAGAATAACTTATGTATATAAAACTATTTGTCATGACTGTCCCAGCCTACAAAGTAAGCTGATATAATATATTATATTATATTGCAGTAAGATCTGTCAAATTTAATAATCCTATTTAATTTTATAACAATAATTTATGAATTAACAAGGGGAGAGGTAGCGGTGCCCTAATTAATATTCAATAGTTGATCCCTACTCAGGAGGGCGGTGAGGGATCAAATGTACCTTATGCATAGATGTGGAGGTGTGGGTGTGCTTCCTACCTAATCAGCTTTTCTTAGGAGAAATGGAGAGAAATAGAAAATAGATTATATGACTATGCATACAATTTTCTTATATATTTCTTTATTGGTATTAGGTACGGGCATTTGTATGAGAGAATCGGTCAATGACCTTTTTTTCGACTTTTGAGAATCGATCTTAAAGTTGTATAAAATGGCCTTTGAGTGCTTGGGAAGGGGGAAACGATTGATAGATTAATCGGTGTGCAGCTAGTTGACATCTTATTGTTAAGCAAGAGCATTCGTACGCATTTCAATGTCTGTCTGAAAAAAGAGAGCGTGTTGGTCCCTAATTTAACCGTCCATTTTTAAGCACATGTAGCTATGCACGAAATCCCAAAATGTGCGTATGCGCGCGCACGCATCTCTCCCAAGGTTATGTCTCTTCTGATGACCATGGGCTATTCGATAGAATTAAATGAGCTTTAATAATAGTTAAAAGCAAGCATACTTATCTTATAGCCTTTCTCAACTGTTCATATTTCTTACACATTTTCAAATATGTGACATTTTTGAAAAATGTGTGAAATTCGGCCTGTACCTTTTCCCATAAGAAAACACATAAGAAAACACATAAGAAAACACACAATGTCACATTTTTTATGATTTATCGATTTTTCTATCGATGTTGTGAAAAATGTGAAAGTATCATTACTATAAACAGCTGATATAGCAACGAAGGCAAGCGGTAACTTTAAATTATAATTCTTATACCCTGAACCCATTGAAAATGGGTAAACAGGGTATATTGTATTTGTGCAAATGTATGTAACAAGCAGAAGGAAGCATCTCCGACCCCATAAAGTATATATATTCTTGATCAGCATCAATAGCCGAGTCGATCTAGGCATGTCCGTCTGTCTGTCTGTCCGTCTGTCGGTCCGTCCGTCTGTATGTATGAACGCAAGGATATCAGAACCTATAAGAGCTAGAGAAATTTTCGCTGTAGGTCCTCATAATGCCCGCGCAGATCGAGTTTGTTTCCGATATTCGGTAACTTGTCCCGATTACTTGGAAATGGGGCAAGTTATCGATTATCAGAAACAAACTCGTACTGCTTGGGCACGATCGATACTGAGGCCGCTATATAATACAGTGGTTCGATCCGGTACAAACATAAGTACTGCCATCCACAGTAAAACTGACCTTTGGAAAGTTTCAAGACGATAGGTTTAAACTGAGAGACTAATTCGCATATAAACAGATAGACTGACATGGCTACATTTAATCGGCTATTCTTGCTAAAGCGTTAAATATTTTTCGTGCTAACGGGCCCAAAATACTTGTTGGAGATATGTGACGCGCTGAAAATAGTCGTTGAAGTTGTGAGAGTATGATAGAGTTTATTTGTATCTTGTTTTATTTAAATCCAATGTATGTGTCCTATTCTTGGTGTAGTCGCACGGTCTTTTTATGTACAAAGCTAGTCACAGACCGTCCTTAACACTACTGCTTAACTTACTCTGTTACCTACATGGGACCTGCTGCCAGAGTGACCGTGTGTAATTCTGATAATACATGCTATTGACAATGTGACGTCACTATCCTACTACAACTCGGCCATCCTGACAGTCGTATCCCCTGATCAAGATTTTTTTTTTTTATTATAAATTAATACAGTGATTTACAATAGTTTCCTTATGTGTATTTCTTAATTTAACAATGTTTCATTCTTTTTATAATTATTTCAGCTTGTTTTTGTTTCCCATCCAAGGTCTTATATTCTGTACACTCCAAATACCCTAATATGGATTACGGGATACTTGAAATCCTTCTACATATTTTAATAAAAACCTATCGTTTCTAAGTACTTTCGCTATAACATATGGTCCTTTGTGTTTTGGGATCATCTTTCTAGGTCCTCTACCGTACTATCAAAATTCTTAACCATCACAAAATCCCCGTTTTTGAATTTCTTCGACTCTCTTCTTTTTTTATCATAGTTAGTTTTGTTGTAAGCTTGTACTTTTTTCTGGTTGTCCGCTGCCTCATTTCTAATTTCTATTAAACTTTTCTCGACTGGTGCTTTAATTAATTCTTCTAGCTTTGCTTTTATTTCATTTATCACTTGACCTTTTTGTTCAATGCCGAACAACATTTTACTTGGTACTTGTTTAATGCTCCTATGCTGTATTGTTTAGTGCATATTCTACTTTTTCTATTAGTAAGTCCCTGTGTATTCCCTTTTCTGGCTCTACAAGCATTGTTATTATTGGCCCAAGACTGTTTAATATTGCAGTTTGTTACAAACTCATCGAATTCATTAGAAGTGAAACAACTAACTCGATCCGAAATTATGCACTTTGGCCTACTATACGATCGAAAATAGTCTTTTAATGAGGCAATACCTTCTTTTGCATTAGTTGTCTTTGTCGCATAAGGGCGTACAAACTTTGTGAATCCATCGACCCCCACGAAAAGATGTTTTTTGAATCTACCAAAATCTGCTGGCCCATAATGATCTATATGTATTGTATCCTTGGAATAGGTTTGTTGCCTTTTGGAATACTATGCAGTAACCCCTCTCCCATTCCGGTTTTCAGTGCATAAGCTTTACATTTTATACAATTTTCGATATGCATCGCGCATTTGTCTTTTGTTTTTGGAAACCAATAACTTTTTCCAGTTATGTCTACCATCTTATCCCTACCTATGTGCCTTATTTCATTGTGATACTTATACATAACGTGGTCTTCCATTACCTCTGGAACATAAAATAATATTCTATTATCATTTGATCCTCATTTCAAAAATTCTTTGTTCAGAACTTTCTAATAGTTTCTTAAGTTTCTGTATTTTTGAATCTTTCGCTTGACATATTACTAAATTTTTCTCTAAACTATTTGTTTCAATTACCAATACGTTGGTACATCTGCTGAGCGCATCTACGTGTTGCATTCGATTACCTGCCCTATGGGTCAGCTCATAGTCATAATTTTAGAGCTCTTTAGCATTGGGCTATACGCGGGTTGAGCTCAACTTTGTTGAACGTTAAAGTCAATGAGTTGCAATCAGTGACAATTTTAAACCATTTTCCTAGTAGATATATACGAAACCTGCGCAAGCATAAAAGTAAAAAATTGGATGAAGCTTCTTATCATCTTTCCTTTGCATTAATTCCGCACCAAATCTTAAGGAACTGGCATCACAATGTAATTCTATTTCATCCTTATAACTATAAAGTGCTCAAATCGGCGATTCCATTAATTTATTTTTTAGTGTCAAGAAACAACTTAATTCTTTTTCTTCGAACTCTAACTGCTAATCTTTTCTTAATAGGCTTGGCTATTGTTGAAAAATCTTTTATAAATCTGCGAAATATGAGCATAAGTCCAGAAAACTCTGAACAGCATGTGTCTTGTCTGGAACTGGAAAAAGTTTTATTCCCTTTTCATCCGCTCTTATGCCTTTTTCGTTATTAAATAACCTAAATATTTTATACTAGACTGCATAAATTTACATTTATCCATCCGTAACTCTAACTTGTTTTGTACCAATCTACTTAATACTTCTTTTAATGTTTCCAAATGTTCGTCCATGTTTTTGCTTGCTACCATTATATCATCCATGCATACAATTACCCGATACTCCCTAATTAAATCTGCAAATATTTTTTTTCAAACCGTTGAAATACTGCTAGCGTATTTTTCAACCCCATTGGCATTCTTAAAAACTCGTATTGCTTAAAGGTGTCACGAATGATGTGTACTTGATTGATTCCTTGTCTACAAAAACATGGAAATATCCATTCTTTAGGTCCAGTTAAAAAACAACAAAAACAACAAATCATCTATTTTTTTTGACTAGCACTATTGGCGATGCATATTCGGAGTCACTATGTCGTATTTTTCCCTTTTTTAAATATTCATCCAACAGTTCTTGCAGTTTGTCTTTTTCTGTGTATGAAAGTCGCCTGGGTACACAGCTAAACAGTTTTAATGTTTCCAAGCTAAGTTTAATTTCACATTTTGTATCAGGTACATCTGTCTCTTTGCGTTTATGTAACTACACTCAATTAATTTTCTAAATTTGCACTTAGTCTCGTAGTTTACTGTCTCGCCAAAGTTATATTCAGCTATGATATTGTCAGTAACATTTATATGATACATATCTATATCAAAACTTTCTTTGTATAGGC